GGGGATAAACCCTATATATGTAAGCAATGTGGGAAAGCATTCACTACGCAAAGTTACTGTAAATTACATGAGAGAAAGCACACTGGGTGGAAACCCTATGCATGTAAGCAGTGTGGGAAAGCATTCACTTCACACCATTATTGTAAAATACATGAAAGAAGTCACACTGGAGAGAAACCATATGTATGTAAACAGTGTGGAAAAGCATACACTACACGAAGTTGTTACAAAATACATGAACGAAATCACACTGGTGAGAAACCCTATATATGTAAACAATGTGGGAAAGCATTCACTACACATAAATACTGTCAAATCCATGAAATAACTCACACTGGTGAGAAACCATACGTATGTAAGCAATGTGGCAAAGCATTCAGCAGACACAGTCACTGTCGAAGACATGAAAGAACTCACACTGGGGAGAAACCTTATGTATGTAAACGGTGTGGGAAAGCATTCACTACACACAGTTATTGTCAAATACATGAAAAAAATCACAGTGGGGAGAAGCCTTATGTGTGCAAGCAGTGTGGGAAAGCATTCAGTACACAGAGTTGGTACAAAATACATGAAAGAACTCACACTGGGGAGAAACCCTATGTATGTAAAGAATGTGGGAAAGCATTCACTACACACAAATATTGTCAAATACATGAAAGAAGTCACGTGCAGGAGAAAGCCTATGTATGTAAGCAATGTGGGAAAACATTTACTAAACACATTTATTGTCAGATACATGAAAGAACACACACAGGTGAGAAACCCTATGTATGTAAGCAATGTGGCAAAGGATTTGCTGATAAGTCCACATTTCGTAGACACAGACGATCCCACACTGGCGAAAAACCCTATGTATGTAAGCAATGTGGGAAAACATTCAGCACACACAGTCACTGTCAAAGACATGAAAGAACTCACACTAGGCAGAAACCCTATGTGTGCAAGCAATGTGGGAAAGCATTCAGTACTCTGAGTTGTTATAAAATACATGAAAGAAGTCACCCAAGGGAAAAACCTTATATATGTAAACACTGTGGTAAAGCATTCATTACACACAAATATTGTCAGATACATGAAAGAACCCACACAGGTGAGAAAGCCTTTGTGTGTAAGCAATGTGGAAAAAGATTTGCTACTAAGTCCTCATTCCTTAGACACAGAAGAATCCACACTGGTAAGCGACCCTATGTATGTAAGCAGTGTGGGAAAGCATTCATTGAACACAGTTATTATAAACTACATGAAAATAGTCACAATGGAGAGTTACCCTATGTATGTTAGCAGTGTGAGAAATCTTTCTGTACACATGGTAGTTGTAAAATGCGTAAATGAGGTCACACTGGGGAGAAAGCCTATATACTGCAGCAATGTGGGAAATTATTCAGAATACACAGATATTGTCAAATACATGAACGAAGTCACACTAGCGAGAAACCCTATGTACATATTTTTAAAACATGTGAAAATTATTTATGTAGTGGGGACCTGTAGAAATAATATGAAAATTTTGTTGTCAATGTTTCATAAATTTTCCAGAAAATACTGGAAAATAATGCCAGAAGGAGATATCCTAAAGTGTATTCATTGTGTTTTTCAGTAAATATAAATATCTGAACTATGTATCTATAGTTTTTACTATAAAATATTGAGTTTATATAGTCATATATTTTTGTGTAAACCAGTGTCGGTAGTTTAACATGTAGTGTCTGCTAATTAAACAAGGTGAATTAAAATGTATTCTTCACTTCCAAATAGGGTTGGTATTCATGCAGTTTTTGTTTTGTTTTGTTTTTACAATTGGGAGGTACAGGCCATTAATTTTGCTAATCATTGAGATTTCCCACTAGATTTGATTCAAATGTTGTTGGGGTATATGCTCCATATTCTGTGTAACAAAAGATATTTTCAATTTGATGAGATGTATATTTAAAGACTTGTAAACATGGGTAGTGGACGGAGTGAGTTCAGGTGTTTTCACACAACTCATAGATGAGCAGATGTTATTTTTTGTATCCTGATAAGATACCTGCATATATGCCATCATAATTGTGTATTATATCAAGTACATAAGTTTGCCTACTTTGCTTTCATGTTGGAATCAATACAGTATTAGCCTTTACATAAAATTTAGTGCTTTCTTACCATCAAAATTTTAGTTTTCATACTTATATTGTGAGGGCTTTTGATATTGTGATAATTTTTCCACCTCATGCACCAAGAAATAAACCCTACCACTGTGATTTTCTGATTGCCACAGACCAGTAGAACCATAACTTGTCTCCAAAGGGATCTCATGAATTGTAATAAATCTCTCCTCCCCAAAAAGTACACATGATGTTATGATTTATCAGTAACAACATTTTCAAATGAATTTTTTGTCAGCAGTGGAGTTGTTTTGGGGAGAATGTTAGTTATGGTTTTTATGAGGTAATTCCTTTATTCTAGTTCCTGAAGCTGGAATTGACGTTTTCTTTCATGATCATTACTGCTTTTACATAAGAAGATGAAATAATGGCATGAAGGAAAAGAAACATTCAGTATGAGAAAAAGGGGAAATTTACTAATGTCCAGGAGCTGGATCAAGAAGCTATTCATAACTAGTAGATTATGTTCTATTTTACCAATGTTAGAGATAACTTTATACAACATCATTTCTCATTATTGAAAAGGACCACTGTCTGATGTTTAAGGTACGTGACAAATGCTTTAAAATACATAGACTTAGCCAAGCTGTGAGTATAGGCCTAGTTAGTCTTCTTACCTGTATTTTGCCTTTCTTTTTAACAATGAAATTCTTTGTCAAAGGATAATCCAGCTTGTTCTAAACTCTGTGGTAAGCCTTCTGTGCTCAGTACTGATCACCAAATAAGTTCACTTGGGCCTCCAGGGCTGGGCTCCTCCATAGATCTGTAGGGTGAGGGCTGGGCTGGTTTTCATCAGCAAAGGGAGGACCTATTTGCATGTCCTCCTGCTATATAGACAGCTCTGAGGTTGGCTGTCTCAGCCAGGACAGCGCACACAGCAGCTGTGAGTATACAGGGGAAGTTTAGTAACAATGGTCGCAATTCAAGAAAAAATGATGTCCTATTATGTGATGAGTCTTATTCTCTATGTATCGCTTGATTGCTCTCATTTTTGTGCATGTACACAGATCATGGTTTATTGTTGACGTTGCTTACTTTGTAATTATGTAAAGTAATGAAAGTGTCATAAACTGTATTATAGGATCCCATGTCTTAAAAGGTTATGCCCATTGTCTAGCCCTGTGTTCTCCTAAGTTATGAACAGCTTCCTGATCCACCTCCTGGACAGAGAGAGACACATTTGCTGAGGTTTATATGCAGTCTTCTTGTAGTGCAAACATGTGTGACTTAGCTGCATCCCACTGTTTACCGAGAGGAAATAGAACCAATGATCGTGTTGGCGCCCGTTAGTGGCTCTCTCATTTTCAGCTGTCATTATCTCTCACTGTTCTTCTTTGTTCATGTATTGCTTATTTGTAAAAGCTTTGCCAGATAAACTGCCCTTACGTAAAGTGTGCACCTGAGAAGTATTAACACACACGGACACTTGCACAAGCACACGTACTCAAAGCAGGGAAAACATGACATCCTACAGTGTGTCCTGTGGCTCCTCTGCAGCCCTCCCTCCCTGTGCTTCCCTCCTGCATCCTATTGCCAGGCAGCTCATGACCATCCTCAGGTTGCTTCCTATTTCCTTTCCTCTCTATGAGCCTTCCTACACTGTTGCTGGGGATGTAAACCAATACAAGCACTTTAAAATCAGTATGAATATTCTTCAGAGAACTAAATTAGAAATTCCACATGACCCAGCTATTCCCCTTCTAGGTATCTTTGCCAAAGAGCTAAAAACATCACACTATAGCAGTACATGCATAGCAGCGTATATAGCAACACAGTTCATATTAGCTAAGTCCTGGAAGCAGCCAGTGCACCATCAACATACAAATGTATAAAGCAAATATGGTAGTTATACATAATGGACTACTACTCAGCTATAAAAAAGATAAATTTTAGACAAACAATCATGTCTTAACAGATACTTTGAGGTAAGGATAGATGCATGAAATTGGAGTTTCTGGGGATAAGTATTATATGAAGAAGTTCTAGATCCTGACAAGAAACTACCTTTCACCTTCTAAATCTTCTCTTGAGGTAGAATCTGTGCTGTGTGACCCACGTGCTGCATGCTGGTACCACTTGCCCCTGCAGGAAGCTTTGTATCTGGGCTCACACTGATGTCCCGTCATTGTGTTTCTTACATGGTAATATAAGGCTCTATCCTCAGATCTCAGACTGTTCACTTGTAGATACAGCATGTCCTTGGCATTGTCTCTGGAGATGGTGAATCAGCCCTTTACAGCTTCTGGGTAATATGAGCTACCATAATTGTAATTAATGCTAGTAGCCCCTTCCCTGGAGCTCATAGACCCAGTTCATCCAGTAATCACAGAAGGTGAATCCAGTGGCCGAACAGGAGTCTCATGGATGCTCCAGGCTGCACCAAGCCTCCCTTCTGGACTGCTGCAAACACACACATAGTCTCTACAGGAAACTGTCACACAAGTGAACTGTTTATTCATACACTCAGTATTGCTTGTTCTCCATGAATTACTTTTTAAAACACCAAAAAAGGAAAAACTAGCTCATTGCAAACTTCATGGTGCAACATCTGTGTTCAGTCCTGATCCCCCAATGGGCACACCTGGCATCCAGGGCTGGGCTCTTCTGCAGAGCTGCAGGGTCCAGGCTGGGCTGGTTCCCCTGCAACATAGAATCCTGTACTGTGAAATTCTCAGATAGGGAACATACAGTGCACATAACAGTGTCCTGGGAGATATTTTGCTATATTCATAATAATAATGATATGATTTCTCACTATGTGTTTGTGTTGTGAAAAAGTTTTCTCATAGTTATATATGTATGCAATTAATGGTTTGATCATTTTCTGTCTTTTGCTGATGTGCATGTAGAGCAAGAAGCACAATAGACCTGTGAGTGTGAGGTACGAGCTCATATGTGATAAGAACATCTCGTGTATTTGGGGCTATAAATCTCCCCGTAGTACTGCACTGCTCTATGAAAAATTCCAAGACACAGTGGTTATGCTTAGGTTTGCCAAACCTCTTCTTTGAAAGAGAGAATATGACATTATTTTTCTGCATTCCAATAGTTTTATAAATGGAGTCTTTCAAGCATATGTTCAAGAGTTTGATATCTTGTTTTATTTCTGTATCTCTGACTTAATTTTCCCATATTTTATTCATAATAATTTCAATTATGAATAAATCAGATTTTTTGATACATTTTTATACAAATATACAACTTGTCAGATATTGATGTAATCATTCTCATGGTCAAGATAGCTCATGAAGCAGTACACATAAATTCTCTTACAGTTTTGTATAAATTGTCCTTCCTATGTCTTCTTGTATTCCACACTTTGCTAAGCTGAAACATTTATCCCTGCATTAGACAGTATTTCCACATGGTAACAGAATTAGCAGATGAGTTTTTGCTTTGATGGTGATGATCATGATGACTGAATATTCCAAAGCACCTGCATTCTCAAAATTCAGGCTTCTTCACAGTATATGCAAGTCATGATTCCCCTTCCACTGAATTTCAGATGAAGGAGATGAACAAGTAAATGAATACATAATATATGTGTGCATGCTGTGTGTGTGTCCCAGTTGAATACCAACAAAAACCCTTACATTCTTTGCAGTTTGGAGCTTGAATACATCATATATGAACTGGTGTGATGCGTTGTGGGGTCTCCTCAGTTTATATAATGCTAAGACAGAAAGGAAACCTCAGAGGCTTACTCTGAAAGGCCACCAGAAAGGAAACCTCCGAGCCAGCTCTCCAGCTTCCTTCTCTGCACCTGTTCCTTGGGCCCTTGCTGGTTCTCTGTGGATTTCCAGGGCCCTCTGCTAGTCCAGAGCTTTCTCCTACTCCCCAGCACTCTCCTCTGGTCTGAGGTTTCTCACTTTTCTTTTGTCCTGAGCAGCCCCTGCTGTCTCTAAGCACCCCTGTGGAAAGATTTGTTTCTGGGCAAATGCTAATATTTCCTCACAGTGTCTCTTGCACCGTAGTACATGGTAATGTCCTCCATGGTCACTGAGTCAAGCTGCAAGAATTGTTCTTGGATGTGGCACCAGCAATGATGACTTGGCTGATCAGTGACGAGTTATCAGCTGGACCTCCACTCTTATCATCCCACCACTTCTCTTCCGTCTCCTTCTCTGTGTGCTGATGGATCCAACCCCCACCCAAAAAAATCACTAGTGAGGGAGGAAACAGACAGGGCACAACAAAGGACAAGGTGTACGAGGGCTTCACTAGGTCAGGTCCTAGCTCCTGAAACTGCATCTGAGAGAATCACAGGGAGTGTTGAGCTCAGATGCAGCATCCCCACATTGTCCTGACCAAATTCCTGTGACATTCTCATGTTGTAGCCACCACCAGGAAGAAAAGGAATGAACATAGCTCTGTGTTCTTAAAGAATAGGTCCACAAACCCCTTGAACTGTCTTAAAGTTTGAAAAATAACCCAAATTTAAGCCAATCGTGATATGATTTAATCTGGGTGCTCCAGGGAGCATTTGCATGTGGAATGCACTTGTGTATAGAAAGGCCTGGAGGGGAAACAGGAGGTCCCCGTTTGGGTGGGGTGACCCTGGGTGGAGGATGCTGACTGAGCCCTCCGATTGCCCAGTTCTCTTTGTGGAGTCCACTGCTCCAGGCCAAGGTCCTGTCACTCCAGGACAGGACATTGAAGGTATGGAGGAGCTAGTTGGGGAGCTGGATGTGTTCTCAGATGAAGGATGGCTTCGGGGATATGGGAACTAACACGGAGTTCCAGGGATAACGGGCTGAGAGCTACCTCCAACCTGGGTATGTGTACATGTATCTAACACACAACAGCTATTCACAGTGTATGTACACATCAACTTCAGGATCAATTTCAGAGTCCTCATTCAAATCAGTTTCCATTCTCCATCAACTCATCCTCAAATTTGGGTCCTTGTGTCTCTCCTTCAGCCCATTCTAGGCTTTATCAAGTCAGAGTTCAGTACTGTTGTCTGGAAATGCTGGGAATTCTCAAGGACAGGATCACTCTGCCCCCCGCCAGGATCCTGAAGACTCAGGATTTCACGATGAGTCAAGTTTCTAAAGCTGCAGGCTGATTTCAGTGCTGCCAAACCACCTGCAAGGTCCCACCTCAACGTGTATCCACCAAGAGGGAAATTGAAGAGACATAGGGAAATGCTCAGAGATCAATGGCTAGTAAGACATTCCTCCT